TAGATCCAATTACGCTAGACTTAATTAGATTAACCCTATACTTACCGTCTTACTACACCCACCAAGGACATAAAATGCACGATTTGATATCTAATTACTATCATCATTAATCTCACTAAAGTTGTCAAATGTGAAATTTCTACATTTTTAGAGTCAACAGTCAACAATGTTGCTTAGCTTAATACAAACTCTGGAAAATTTGAGCATCGTGGTAACAACAAATCACATCGTTTTTCTTAATCATATCAAAATCTTTAAAATATTATGAATAATGTAAGCTTTATTTTTTTCAAAATTAAAGTCGTCTTTAATCTTACTAAGGTTGTTACATTTAATTTTATTTTTTTACATTTTTTGGACTGAATATATAGTCAATACTATCACTTAGAATACATTAAATATTGGAAAATTTGAGAATCATAATCCACCCCTCCAAGCCCACAACTTGGAAGACTCTTCGTTGTAAGCAACAAATCACACCATTTTTCTTAAGAATATCAAAATTATTAGAATATTGTAGATAATTTTTACTCATATTGTTATTCACAATTACTGCCACTTTTAATCTTATTAAACTTGACAATTTGAAAATTTTACATTTTTAGTCAATAGTCAATATTACAACTTACCAGGCAACAAACTCGGGAAAATTTGATAACCATGGACCACTCCTCCAAGCCCCACAACCAAATCATCTCATCTTCCTTAATCACATCAAGAATTTCTAAAATAAATAAATAATGTAAGTCTATTTTACTATTCAAAATTATTGTCATCTTTAATCTTATTAAAGTTATCAAATTAAAATTTTCTACATTTTTTTTAGTGAATAGTCAATACCGTTACTTAACCTGCGCAATAAACTCTCAAAAAATTTGGGAACCATTATACATCCCTCCAAGTACCGCAACGCAATAGACTCTTTGTTATAGTATCAAATCCCATCTTCCTAAATCACATCAAAATATTTAAAATAATATAAGCCTCTCATTTATTGCCCCTGCTAAATTAATATCATATACAGTCCTATATATTAAAGGTGTCAAATTTGAATTTTCTACATTTTTAGAATGAATAATCAATAATGTCGCTTAGCATGCAACAAACTCTGAAATTTCTTAAAACCATGACCCACACCTCCAAGCCCCACCACGACTAAGTAGCAACAAATCAAATCATCTTCCTTAATCAACTCAAATTCCTTACCCACTCTATTTCTATTTTTATTTATATGTTATCCTTATTAAAAATAAATGATTCTTAATATTTGTTATTTCACAAAATTAATGCATCAATGACACTATTTTTTCTATTTTTATCCTTTAAAAGTTTTCATCCTTGAAGTTATACATTTATCCAACATAGAAAAAATAAGTAATTATTTTATTTTCATTAGTCAAATTAGTTAATCAAAGTAAAAAATTCATGTTCATTTACTGAAAATTTGACTTGAAGAAAACACTAAATAAGAATACAGTGATAAATTTACATAATTTTTTAAGGAATGTAAAACCTAAATAGTGATACTAATAGGAACGGAGGGAGTAATAATATTCCAGTAAATGCTAAGGTTGCTCACTACTCATCAGTTTACAGTCAAAAGGCATGATTCAACTACTCTATTTCATTAGGATAATGTTTTGGTCGGTTTTGTGTGTAACTACAATTATCTCCTTATCTTAACGCTACCATTCAAAATTAACCACACTTGTCAATAAATTCATATTAACTTTCACACACAAGTGTTAACTAATTCACCCAACTAACATAACTACTACGTACATAATTAAAAAAAAGCAAGTAATTAAATTTGAACAAGTCAGAAAAAGTAGCTCTAAAATATTCATTTTCTAGAAAACGTGGCATATCTTCATCCTTCAATTATGATACGTGGCAATATTTTACGGCTCGTAATATGAAAACACGCTTGACATATGGGCCCAACTTGGGCCCACTTTTAACCTCCCTAACTGTTGTGGGCCCGTTCTCATTGAGATCTGGGACCACAGTGGGCCCTATTTTAACCTCCATAACTGCTGTGGGGACCAGGCTCATTGAATGAAATTTCTATAGATAGCCTTCACCGAATGGATCACGTCACGTGGCGAGGATTAGCCACGTGGCAGCATATTGATGAGTTTGATCCTTTAATTTTGATCCTAAATAGGTTTTGGTCGGCTACCGTTACAACTTTGTCAACAGTCAAAACCCGCGTTGTTAAGAAAAAGATTTTGTAGTTATTTTGTACGTAAGGAAAAAAGGAAATATATTCTAGATTATGGTATTTCTTAATCTAGTACTCACTCAGTCTCGTTTATTATTTCTAAATTATTTTATAGGTTTGAAATAAATTATATTTTATGATATATTAAAAATAAAATGAGTTAATATTACAAAAGGCCACCCAATTTTGATAATTTATCTAGCAAAGTTATTAAACTTTGTTTTGTATCATTAAAATCACTAAACTTAGACCTTTCTATCAATAAAATCACTCAATCAAATTTATCATTAAAAAATGTATTGGCAAGACAAAAGAAATTATCATTTTTATATCATGTAAATATAAATTCCACAATAAAATAAAATTAAAGAAATCTCATTAAGGACTTTTCACTCCCTCTCTCAAAACTTTTTTAAAAAAATCAATTAAAATGTATGTCCAAACACAATTTTAAATTTCAAAACTTATTTATCAACAATTTTATAAAATAATTTTTTCAAGCTTGAACAAACCTATGTCAACGTTAGCAAACCATGGAATTACGACGGAAAAGTAAGACCTTTACCAATTATATTTAGCAAGAAATATGTAAATAGATTACACGCCAAAGGACTTATTAATTAATAAATCCTTACTTGTTCTATTTTGACATTTGTTTATTGCTTTTCTTCCTGTTTTGGATTTAATTTGTTGTTTTGCTTAATTACTTATATTCATTTTTTACTTAGGAGGCAAACTAAATATTATGGTATTACAATAATACCAAAATATGTTTCAAGAAAAAAATATTCATTTATTTATTAAATGACGACATAAATTATACAATAATATCATAAAAATGTTTGTTTCGGATTAATTAAACTGTTGCAAGGAATGCTGAAAAGGGAACACATCCTCTTTGAATACCACATCCCTGCTCACTATAAATGAATCTGTATAAAGGTTGAATATCAAATACCCTTTCTGAGTGAGGGAATAACCAAGGAAAACTGCAGGTCCTGCTCTAGGAGAGAATTTGTCTGACTTTCTAAGGCAAGCAACATAGGCCAAACAGTCAAATACTCTCAAGTGATTGAGATTAGGAGGATGCCCATGAAGAGCTTCAAATGGAACTTTACCTTTAAGTGAGGAGGAGGGCAACCTATTGATAAGATAAACAGCAGTAGTGACACATAGCTAATTTGTTACATAAAGACTGCTTAAGCTTAAACTAAAATAGCTGGCCTCTTTTAGTTGTACATAATTTCACACAATGACTTTGCTAGATAAATTCTTAAAGTTGAGTGATCTTTTGAGATAGTAACTCAGATAAAATAATTAAAAATATTCTTAATTAAAAGTTTCTTAAGAGCATGTAAGAAAATAACACGATACATAATTTGAGACCGTGGAAGTGTCATTAAAATAAAACCCATACGTTTTACAAGGTCTTCGAGTCATGACGTGGTTAATTAAATTTAATATAACTATTTTCTCAAGTATGTAAGTTCATTCTTTTTCATAGTAATACTTTATAGATCTTGCGTCTATCAATTAAATTGAATAGTTCGAACTTCCAACCAAGCACTGGTCGTAACTTTTTAAATAATTATATTTTCATTATTTTTAATTTTGAAAATAAATATTGATCCTAGTCAAACACTGATTTTTCATAATTTTTAAAAGTGAAAATATGATTAAATAAGATAATAAATTAAGCGAGACAGGTACCCTAGATTAAGAACGGTGGACCAACAATTTAAAACCTAAAAAGAGAGCTAGACTTTGTGCAATCGCTATCAAGTTTAAAATATGTAACCCTTTCATTTGCCATGTTCTTGGAAATATTAAGAAAGAATAAAATATTTTTGCTTACCTTTTTATGAATAATATATCAGAAGCTTACTTAACTATAACTTATCAATAAGAGAAGTTTAATCATAACTAATTACTCAACTCCTCTATCTAGCAATTTTTTCACAAACTAATTTGTTGCATATAGTTTGGGTGTTAGAAAAAAAAAATCTTGTTCAATTTGTGGGTGTCGCATACCTTGTAGACAATAACCGTAGCAATCAGTAGTCTGATCCCCTGCCCTACAAAGTAGCTTGATGTGTTTAATCTAAGAGTTATAGAGTTAAATAGACTTCATATTTGTGTGTTATTTTCCATCAAAATCAAATATTATTAATTTTGTTTGATATTGATTGATATACAGAACGTACGTGTCTGTTTTTTATAGATTGTTGATATTATGATATATTGTGCTGTATGAGATTCAAAGGTTTGATCATAATATTAATTAATTTACTTTATCCTAAATTAATAACTCATTTGAAAGCGAGATTAAGGTTTCAATTTTCGTGGTTAATTTATGGAATGAGATAATGGTGGGCCAAATGAAACATTATTCTAGTGTTTTCTACTTTAATTAATTACTGTAGAAAAAGAAAACATTTACTCTATTAATTACTCAAACCACCGCCCAGTTTCCAGAGATTTCTCTTCAACAACAAATAACCCGTCACTATTTGTGATCATAGAAAACAACAAAAAAATCTGAACCGTTGGATCTTACCTGACCACAACACGTACAGTCCGATCCTTGTGGTGCAAAATATAATTTTTAAGATTTCTGGGGCCCAAATGCTCAACTTCAAAGAAACTTACACATATAACGAAACTAAACGACATCGTATTTGCAAAAACACCATGCAATTTTTATTTATTTTTTCATATTTTTAGTTCCCACCCAACGCCTATATAAACAACCTCATAAACACTCAAATCTCATCAACAAACAAACAGCAATCTTCTCAAAAAACAATCTTTTTTTTTCAACACTTCACTAGCTTCTTTTTTCTAATCTTAAATCTCTCAAAAACACTCATTTCTAAGTTACCAAAAAAAAATGGCACCTAATGTTTTTGGTCTTGCAACTAAGGCTACTGGTTTGGCTAAGGCAAAAAGTTTGGCAAGCCGTGCCTATGTTACGTTCTTAGCTGGAAATGGTGATTACTGGAAAGGCGTTGTTGGTTTGGTTAAGGGATTGCGAAAGGCGAAATCCGCTTATCCACTTGTTGTGGCTTGTTTGCCTGACGTCCCGGAGGAACATCGACGTATACTCATTAACCAAGGTTGCATCGTTCGAGAGATCGAACCTGTTTATCCTCCTGAGAATCAAACTCAATTTGCTATGGCTTATTATGTTATCAACTATTCCAAACTCCGTATTTGGGAGGTATGTACGAGAATATTCTTCTGTTTATGTGATAATATTTTTATTTGGTAGGCTAAAAATGTTTTTTTTTTTTTTTTTGGGATGCAGTTTGTGGAGTATAGCAAGATGATATACTTGGATGGTGATATTCAGGTGTTTGATAACATAGACCACTTGTTTGACTTGCCAGATGGCTATTTTTATGCAGTGATGGATTGTTTCTGTGAGAAAACTTGGAGTCACACCCCACAATATAAAGTTGGGTACTGTCAACAGTGTCCTGATAAGGTCCAGTGGACTCAAGACTTGGGCCCTAAGCCATCACTCTATTTCAATGCTGGCATGTTTGTCTATGAACCAAGTCTCTCCATTTATGATGATCTCTTGAAAACCGTCAAAGTTACACCTCCTACCCATTTGCTGAACAGGTAACAATTTTTAGCCCTTTTTTGGACTCTAATTGTTCAAATGAGTAAAAAAGGGGTTAACTTTAATTTGTTATGTGAAAATTTTGCAGGATTTTTTGAACATGTATTTCAGAGATGTATACAAGCCAATTCCGAACCATTACAACTTAGTTTTAGCTATGTTGTGGCGTCACCCAGAGAATGTGGATCTTGATAAAGTGAAAGTTGTTCACTACTGTGCGGCGGGGTCTAAGCCATGGAGGTACACTGGAAAGGAAGAGAACATGGACAGAGAAGACATTAAGATGCTAATAAAAAATGGTGGGATATTTATGATGACGTGTCATTGGATTACAAGAATTCTAACGTTGTTATTGATGGCGAAGTTGAAGCTGACAAATTTATGGCAGCGTTATCAGAGGCTGGTGCTGTGAACTACATAACTGCTCCATCGGCCGCTTAGAATATTATAGCTTTCAAATTGTTTTATAGTTTTTTTTCTAAAAAAAAAAAAGCTTTGGGATATATAGTCTTAAAGCAAATTATACTAGCTTTACAGAGTGCTTTTGTTATTTTTTTTATTTACAAAAAGATTAGAGATTGCCTGTATATAATAGGGGAGCAGGCAATTTCAGTTCTTCTATAAGTTTGGAGTGTATTTTTTGTTTTGTTTGTGGATATTGGAAGAGTACAGAAATGAAAAAAGTACGTATTTATGTTAATACTGAATCTTGAGATACGTATTTATGTTGTGGCTTGAGTAATCTTTTTTTTTTTATAATTGCACTAAAGTGGCTTAAGTAATTTTGGAGGACACTGACAGTAGGCATCTGATGAACATTAACATTAGATGCCGTAAATCGTCTTCTTAATATTTTGAGTAAATCCTGAGGTGGGATAATTCATGTAATTGTTGACATTACCGACATTTTGAGTCATTCATTCAATTTATTTAGAAGGTCGAATAATTCATGTGATTGTTTACAATAATTATATGCTCCCAAATTAACTATAAGAGTCCAAAAAAGAAGTAATTACATCAGTCTATGTGACAACAAGATAGCTATCGATGTGAAAGAGTTGAGGGGAAATGGTTGAATATTCATTGTATTGCTTGTGTATTTGAAACCTGTCGGTGTTCGTGGATAAGGACTACTTTTACTAAACTTGGAAAAAAAATTCTGTTAATTGGATTCCAGATAAAACTTGCTATTCATAGGATATTTTTCATTGCAGGTTTATTTATATGGAATTCATTTTTATTTCCTTTAACTTGTACTCTCTCTATCCCATTTTATATGTCACATTTTTATTTTGCACTTGCGTTAAGAAATTATGTAACTTTATCCTTCTATCCTTATTTAATTTTTTTAGAAGTCAAGTTTTCAATCAATGAATAAGAATTAATTTATTTTGATTAATAAATTTAACCAATGAACATGAATCATTTACTTAGCTTTTCTAAGTTGGTCAAATGTATATTTTCAAGATTAATAACTCACAAGGGTAAAAAAGGAAAAATATGATAATTTATACATTGATTTTATGAAATGACAAGTATTATGGACCAACTATTTATAGAAAGGGATGACATATTGATCTTAGGCATATTTATATGCCAAAGTGCCAATAATTGCCCATAAGTCAATAAGATTGGAAGATGATCTATAGTTGTTAGCTTAATTTTTGGTGTAACTTGTAATGATTGTACACTTACACACATGATTAGTTGTTTCAGGAATTATCAAGGGAATTGGAGTCAACTTGATGAAAAAAAGATGTAAAAGAGCATGGAAAGTGAACAAGGATGAAGACCCCAAGCTAGGCGCGACGCGCCAATAGCCAAAGTTCAGAGACGCCTCTCAGGCGCTCTGAGAGGCGCGACGCACCAATAGGCAAAGTTCAGAGGCAAGTCGCAGACGCGATAGGAGGCGCGACGCCCCATCATGATGCCGACTCTTCCAGCGAACATGCACTTAAATAGGACTCCTTGTTGGTTTAGGATTGGGTCTCAGTTTTTCTAAATAGTATAAATAGACCCCTAGGGTTCATTAGTGGTAGTCGACTTTTTGATTCAGTGTGTAAGGGCAAGAATTCAAGTTTGGAACAGGTCTTAAATCCTTTAACTCTTCTATTTTCTGAAAATAGCATGAACTATTGTATTTTATTGTTTTCTAATAGCATGAGTAGCTAAACGCCCTAATTCTGGGGCTGTAGCTACGAATGAAATGTTGAATAGTTAAGGCTTTCATGAACTAATTCTTGGTTGTCATTATAAGTTACTTCTATATTCTTGTGTTAGTATTTCTTGACTGGCCATCTAGAGATAAATCTATTGTCTAATCTTAAAATCGAGAGAGGAGAGGTTGGATAGACCAGAGAATATAGAGAGTTTGATCGACCCGTTAAGTCAAGGTGATTTGTGTTCAGGAGTGACGCCCGGACGAACAACTAGCTTGGTTACGAAACAGGATGAAATATAAATGCTCGCCAGTTAGTCTAATTATCCCCGCTCAACGATGTAGTTAGATAGCTAATTGGAGTAGGCGATTAGAGGTGTGTAGCCCGACTCATACAATAAACCCTGTAAACCACTAACTTGACAACTGAAATTAGTTCTATGCCAATAATATGATACATGATATTCAGTATATGCTACAGCCCTGGAATTACTTTAAACTTGCTTGAAACATTATATCAAGAACCGATCACAATTAGTTACTCTCATTCAAGCCATAAATAGTAGTAGTCAACAATTAATCATCAACTCTTTAGAAAAGATTACTTTGACTTTTATTTGTAGAATTAAGTGGCAAATATAAATTAATTATAAGTCCCTCGGGAACGATAACTCGTTTCTTCAAGAATCTATATTACTTGCGCGACCACGTACACTTGCGTGTATACTGGGGAGTAACACATATAAAATGGGACGCAGGGAATATTGTCAGTATTAGTCGATATTTCAATAAACAAGATATGCATTACCCAAAAATATTTACTTACAAGCTGCTATTGATTTTCCCTTTCTACCTATTAATAATCCATTTACTTCATCTCTTGTCGATTGTATTATAATGCTAGTCTTTATTATAAGGCAAGTCATATACGGTGTCCTGTTCATAACTATACTTGTTATTTCCAGGCTTATTAACACACTTAAGGTCAGTACTCAGTAGGCACAAGTTGTAAAATGCAAAATAATAACACTGATAGGTTGGAGTTTGAGAAGAAATTATATATGCTTTTTGGTACACCTTAATTATTTGTCAATAACTATATGAATAATTTATGCTATTCTGATGAGTCTGTACTCACATACACTATAATAAATTAAGAATCAATGTTTGTTGTCATGAACCCAGTTCCGAACCACGTATAGGAGGAATCCAACACAAGAACCAGCAGCAGCAACAACAGCCACAATCCGAACCCAAAAATGGGCTATAAATGCCTTGATGAGTAAGGCATCCCACAGCCAGAACCAGAAAATGGAAAAACAGAATCCTAGTACTGCACCCACTGCTACTTGGTTTAACGTGTGAAATCGTTGTGAAACCCGTAACCATGACTGTAATAAAGTGAAAGAAAGAAAAAATATCATGTATTATTATTTTCAGGAAAATTGCATAAAATAACAAATTATTAATTCAAATTAAATGTTATAACCACTGTTTGATGTAGTTGTAACCCGTAGCAAACAGTTGTCACTCATCTCCCTCCCTAGCGAATTTCGCTCGCGTCGCCTCTCTCACTTTATACAAACACAAATATATAAATTGCATTTCTGTTTGTATAAAGCGAGAGAAAAATTGTATATACACATGCAAATGCGTATATATCGTCATCTTATACACTTATATTTATACAATACAAATCTTCTCCTACCCAATTCTCTTTTGCCTTTCTCTCTTTCTCGCTTTATACAAACACAGATTATATAAAATACAATGTATAATTTGTGTTTGTATAAAGCGAGAGAGAGATTTGTATACAAAAGTATAGTTACATATAGATATACAAATTTATATTTAAATACATATAATACACCTATACATATACGACGGAAAATCACAACAAAAAACGTATATACAAAAATACATTCATAGACAGATTTTTATGTATATGTATACCGAAATATTCAGATTAATAGTTATAGCAAACATAAAGTTTGTTATGGAGCGCAATTATGCAAAGTATAGTTATAGCATACAAATATGATTTTTATGTTTGTTAAACCTAAAATTTACTCATTATTTTCAGCACCAAATTTTTTACTTATAAGCAGAAAATCACTAAGCAAATACTGTGGAACCAACAAATATAAAAGTTACAACTACACACTTACAAAGTATGAGCCCATTGCAATAATAAGCACACTAGTGACTGCAGTAATTCCATTGCACCCGAAATATTCAACCACTGTGTCAAATAGTGATAAAAATGAGCACTAAAAATAGAGTGATGTTATTTCTGAATCATGTAATATTAGTAGGAGATGGAGCTTACTTGAGATGATACAGAATGTGACTGTGTAGAAGATGGACTGGGCATGTGAAGAAGGCATCCCAGGGTCTGATCTTAATGATAAAACGGGGCGTTCATGGTTAAGTATGCCCTTCAGTACAGTTGAGAGACGGCCATTGACAACAACACCACAAAAAGCCCATAATGTTTCTATATCATGCCTCCAAAGGAACATAATACCGAAAACTACAGCCACCAGCCACTTACTCTGTAATTAATCAAATACAAATATTAATACCACCATCACCTAAAAGCTGGACATAGCTAGTCACACACTTTGCTATCTAATTTGATAAATAATGAAATAAGAGAGTTACAAATCATTCAGCTCTGCTGGACCATATACGTGCAATGCGTTACACTAAACTAACTAAGTAGTAAATATATCCTAATATTTCAAACTTTGAAAAAGTTATTGCAATTAAGTCTTTATTTATTTATTTATAATATAAGTAAGAATTCTTAATATTTTAAATCTTTATTTATTTGAATTGTATGAAAAATCATACTAACATTTAAGACTTTGACATCAATATTTTACGTTATCTTACTACTCCTACTATATTGAAGTGGCTACAAGCAAGCTGGTGTTGGTCGACATGCTTGCTTGTCCGCATAGGGGCTATTTACGTATTTTAATATTAATAGCTTTATGATTGTTGTACCAAGTGAATGATGTTAGTGTACCTTTCCGCTGTTGGACCAAAAAACCAGCTAACATTTTCTTAAATTCTTTTCGTATCCCTCCAAAAGATAAATGCACTCCCTGACTTGTGGACCCATTTGCAGCTTTTAATGCTTGATACATCTACCTAACCTTTTCTATTTATATCTAAACATAAATCTACACTCAAATGAAGTTTTTTTCTAATTGTTTCTTTTGTTATATATAATCCATATTACCAAAACAGAAGAGTGGCTTATAGTTCATTCACATTTGCAATTTCTTTTTAGTGATGACAAAATAAAAAAATATTTCTTAGTTTTAGATTGAACCAAAAAAGCTTTTAAAAGTGATCAAAATCTTTTTGTCTTTAGAGTGAAAAATAATTTTCAAAATTCAAATTTATTTGATCATAAATATAAATTGAAGTTATTTTTTAATGGTAAGTGAACAATGTTACGTATTTTAATTTGTTCAAATTTTGTTGTTGTTCATTCTATTTTAATTATTTGTCGTATTTCCCTTTTTAATTTATCATATATTCAAATATTATGTTTAAGATATAATAAATTATTATAATTAACAACTTAAAATATTCTATTATAAATTTGAAATTACGTAAAATATATAGGTCACAATAAATAAGAGGTTAGAGTTAGACACCTTAAAATACTTATTTTTTAAAAATGAAATCTTTAATTGACTCTTACAATTCTATCAGTGCCACGTGAAATTGAACAGATGGAACAACATATATTATTGAAAGTTACGTAAATAATACTATAAATCACAATAATTAACAATTGAAAATACTTTAAAATCATATAATAAATTTGGTTAACTTTCTTGTTTTCATATGTATGACATAAATTAGAACAGAAGATGTAACATATATTATTCGAAAATGAAGTAAAAAAAAACTATAAATCGCAACAAATTAACAACTTAAAATCTTTTTTAAAAAAACAAATACAAAATTTAATTAACTCTCCAAATTCTATCTGTATCACATAAATTGAAACAAAGAAATACTCCCTCCGTCCCAATTTATGTGGCATTTTTCAGATTTCGAGATTCAAACAAGACTATGTTTGATCGTAAATTTATCAATTACCTTTAGTTATTTCAATTTATCAATTATTGTGACTTATAGTACTTTGTACGTAGTTTATAAATATATAAATTTCATTTTAAAAAATTGAAGATTCCACGAGCAAATTTTCGATCAAACTTAAACTGTTTTATTCTCGAAAACAAAAAGTGTCACATAAATTGATACATAGAGAGAGTAGCATGTATTGGGCCCGCGCTAACGCGGGCTCCTAATATCTAGTTTACTTTATATTACTCTTAGTTAAATTATGGTAAACAAAATAACTTTTTAACCTGGTATATATCATTGTTATAATTTTAAGTACATATAATATTTATTTTAACGTAAATTGCTATTTTTAATAATATTATTCCATATATGTATAATTTTATTTATTGACACATATTGTAAATGAGTTATACAAGAAAATAAAAGAAATAATAAAACAGAACAAGTCAAAAAATTGACCAACCAAGTTCTACAGAAATCTTAATAGTTAAACTTTAGTTTTTGTTGGTGAGAATTTGATTCCTCACTTTGTAATCTTGTGTCCCATTTTCCTTTTCTGTACCCCAAATATTTAAATTGGAAAAAAAAATAGACTAACCAGGTTGTTGAGAGTAGCTTGAATTCCAGCGGAAGAAAAATTCATGAGAACTTCTTGTTCTAAACCTTCAAAACGGACACCTTCATTGCCAGCGGAATTCATGTGATAGGTGAATTAGTAGGTATCGTGATGGATTTTTATGGATAAGAATTTGTGAGAAAAATCCAATTGATGTTGCGAAACTAGGGTCGATTTTTATTTATATATATACAAGGGAGATTGCAGCAGACATTGGGTGGCGGTGTTTCAATGCTCTTCTCCTTTTTAGGTAAGTAGACTACCATATTAAGAAAAGAAAAACACTTACTATTAAATGAGAATTGATCGCTTATCAGCTAAGTAAATAAGTCAACATTTAATGAACTACATTATTTAGCCTTCCACTAGACAACAAATAGTATTATATCAATTTTATACATAAAAATACCTATTTACTTGAAACGTCCTTGAGCTAATTTTTAGGATTAAGTTAGGTTAAAAAGTCTATTTTTGTAAAACATAATGGCGAAATGGTCTGGGGAACCTTGTACTTGTATCTGTTTGTATTGTGAACCCTTCTACTTACCCTTTTGTCATCTGACCCCTGAACCCATCCAAATCCTACATTTTAAACACTTTTTTGGCAGTGGCGGCTCTACAGCTTTGAAAAAAAGGCAACTGCCTTAGGCCTCAAAATTTGAGGGGCCTCATTTTTTAAAAATACAATAGGTTATACGTATTTTTTTTTTAAAATATCGCATATAATTTGTAGAAAATATAATTTTTTAATAAAAGAGCAAGGAAGTAATAGAAGTTTGATAAATTATGAGTACTAAGTCCCAAGAAAGATTAAATAATTGGCTATAATAAACTTCATAAAAAATATATATTCGAATTTAAGGCCTCCATTCGGATTTTGCTTTAGGCCACCAATTTATTATAGCCGCCCCTGTTTTTTGGTTGTGGTATGGTGCGTGTTGCACATACACGTACACGTTGGCCAAAAAGAAAAAAAAAATTAATTCACGTATGATATTATATTCCACGTGGCAAATGACTTACCTTAAACTAAGAATAGTCCTAACTCCGGAGAAATTTTCCAAACCTTCGCGACTTTTACACTTATCCTCTTCTCCTCTTTTCCTCTCTGTGACGTTCGTCTATGATTTCCCAAACTTTCGCTCAGTTTCGCTCCAATTTTCGTTGTAAGTTCTTGCCTTTTGCGTTAGTTCTGATCTCTTTCATTTTCTCGTGCGTATCTGTTTGATTTTAGGGTCTGTCATTCGATTTTCTAAAAATTTTTGGGGATTTTACTTTGGTTTGGGTGTAATATTAGTGTAATATGCTTTCTTAGTTGATGTATGAACTTCAATGGTATATTTCATAAATTCGAGTAGATTCTAGGGTTTATTCGTAAAATCCCAATTTCGACTAAAATTAATATTTTATTTCTGGTCAATTGTCTTGGGTATTGATAGTGTTAGTGGTGCATTATTACAACAATTACAGTCATGGTAAGTTAATGGCTTTAACTGTTACAACAATTCATTATTTCCTTAAAAAAAATAGGGATTTTTGTGTTACAGTCATGGTAAGTTTATGGTTTAACTGTAGTTGTTTTTTTTTTCTTTACAGGCATTGTAAGGTAATGGCTTTAACTATAGTGACACTTCAATTTCACTATGGGGGCTGTTTTGTATCTAATCCTACTTTAAGGTATGTCAATGGAATCACTAGTGTTGAAAAAATTAATATAGATGTAGATGAGTTGCATATTATGTTGTTTCATAAAATAGCAATGGAATTGGGTGTTGAAAATGTTGAGACATTTGGATGTAGAGTCAACAAGAAGGGTACTTTTTACATGTTAAATATTGATTCTGATGTTTTAAACTTTCTTAATGGTTTGAAGGGTGCTGATTTTGTTGATGTATATGTTGTACGTCCCATTAGTATCCCTTTAGTTGTAGAAGAGATACTTGTATTGCCTGGCACTAATACTGATGTGTCCTCATCTCCACAACAAGATAATGTTGATGTGTCCTCCTACCCACACAAAAATAGGGTTGATCTATCATCCTCCCTACAAATAGATAGGGCTGATGTGTCTTCATCTCAACCATTTGATGAAAATAAAAATAGGGATTAAACCAAAATCAGTCCCCTTTAGTTGAAGAGCAGTCCCCTTTAGTTGAAGAACAAGCCCTTGCCCCAAGAGTTGAAGAACATTCTGATTCTGATTCTGATTCACTCTATGATATTGATGAAAATATTAATGATTTGAGTAATTTGGATGAGGAGTTGCTTCAAGCTAGGCAGTCTAATATTCAAGAACAAGTTAAAGAAAAGACTGCTAGAGTAAATCTAGATGAGATACCATCTGGTCTTGTAGGTATAGATGCTGGTTTTGAAGACATTTATAAGGAGAAGAAGGGGAGATTCAAAGGCAATTTGGGTGGTGATAACCCTTATTTTGATAGATCAGATCCTGGTAGTGACATTAGTGAAGATGAAAGGATCCTGTTGAAAATGATGAAGTGGTAGATCCAGCACCTAGGAAGGAAAGTACAAAGATCTACTTTGATCCAACTGGTAAAAAGGTTTTATTTCAACTGTATATGGTATTTTTGAATCACATTGAGTTCAGGGAGGCACTGCAAACTTACTCTATTCAAAAGGGTGTTAAAATTAGGTTGAAACCTAATGAGAAGGAAAAGATAAGGGCAAAGTGTAATAAAAAAGGTTGTCCTTGACATATTCTTGGAAGTATTGAAAGTAACACTGGAAACTTCAGTGTTGAAACATATTTTCCTGTCTATAAGTGTTTTAAAAGAACAAGAAACAAACTGTGTACCCCCATTTGGATTAGTAAACATTACAAGGAGAAATTAAGAGTGAAGCTACCATCAAACTACATCAGATTCAGTCTTTGATACAAAAGCAATATGATTTGTATGTTAGTAAGGCAAGTTGTAGAAAGGCAAAACTGAGAGTTATGAATGAACATATGTGAGATTTCTGAAATGAGTTTGCTAGGTTGTATTATTATCCTGAGCAATTAAAGACCACAAATCCTGGAACTACTGTATCTATTAGGACATCCAAGAACACAATTCCAGGAAAAGAGGTGTTTATGAGCATCTATATTTGTCTTGGTTCCTTAAAAATTGGAGGGAAAGAAGGGTGTAGAAGGATTATTGGTTTAGATGGTGCATTTCTTAAAAGTGTATGTAAAGGTGAATTGTTATATTACATTTCCAAAGATGGAAATAATCAGATGTACCCTATAGCATAGGCAGTAGTTGATAAAGAAACCAAGGACACATAGTCTTGGTTTCTCAAGTGCATCAAACATGATTTGGAGGTTACAGAAGGTGAAAGACTAACAGTGATGTCTGATATGCAAAAAGTATTACTATATTATTTGTTAAATTTATTTCTTCATTTTTGGAGTAATTGATATTTAACATTGTTGTATGTCAAATGTTCTTTGTTTGGCAGGGTCTTCATCTTGCACTTATTGATGTATTGCCAAATGCTGAAATTAGATGGTGTGCTAGGCATATATGGGCAAACTGGAAGAAAGACTGGAGGGGTGAAGAAAGGAGAAGAAAATTCTAGCAGGTTGCCAGGGCATCATTTGAGGTACTTTTACAGTCCAAACTTGATGACTTGAGTGAGTTAAGAGTAGGCATTGTAGAAGTTTTGTTAAAGTATAACAAAGAAGCATTGTGTAGGGCATATTTTAAAGAACATAGCAAGTGTGATGTGGTTAAGAACAACATGTGTGAGACTTTCAACAGTTGGATTTTAGGTGCTAGGTTCAAATCAATAATCATTATGCTAGAGGATATAAGAGTCAAAGTTATGGAAAGAATGAATCACATGAGAGAATTTTCAGAAAAATGAATTACTAATGTAGCACCATGGCTATGGATATTCTTAGAAAAATGCCGAAATTGCAGATTATTGTGAGGTAAAATTTAATGGTGATTTTGGCTTTGAGATTCATGATCCATCATATAAACATGTTGTTGACCTAAAAAAGAAGGTGTGTAGTTGTAGGTAATGGCAATTAAAGGGAATTTCTTGTGGCCATTCACTTACAGCAATTCATTATAAGGATTGGGTTGTTGATACATTTGTTGATCACTGGTATAAGAAGGAAACATACTTGAAAGCATATAATAGATTCAACCTATGACAAACATGAAGATGTGGCCAAAAAGTGATAGATCAGCCATTGAACCACCTGAAATTACAGCTATGCCAGGAGGACCAGGAAAAAACAGGAGAAAAGATAGTGATGAGCCAGTTAAGAAGAAGTTTGAAAAGGCTACAAGGAAGGGAGGAAAAATGAAATGTTATGTGTGTAAGACTTTAGGACATATCAAGAAAGGATGTCCAGTTCTGGTAAGTTGTGCTTTAATGTCTCTTTGTTACTAAATTTTACTCTTGTTATAATTTTGGCTTTAAAATATGTTTGTAGAAAAATGTTGCTGCTGGAACAAGTGTTGCAACTTCAAATGTTGCTGCTGGAACAAGTGTTGCAAGTGTGCAACTGCTGGAAGCCAGTCAAGTGTAAATGCAGGTCCAAGTGCAGGTGCAAATGCAGGTCTAATTAGTGCTACAAGGCCTACAAATGCTTCATCAAGTGGTGTAAAGGTTGCAACTGCCTTGGCATCTGGTGGAAGGCCTACCATTGCTACATCAAGTAATGTGAGACAATTAAGTACTCAACAATCAACTTCTAGTGCATGTGGCCAAAAAAGAAAGACTAGCACAGCTTTGAGAGGTGGTGCAACTCTTGCATATAAGAAACCAAGACCAAAAAAAGCAAAGACAACTGGTTATGGTCTCTTATTTGGATTAGGTGGCAGTGTAACTGCGAGGGTATGTATTTTATCATTTAAACACATTAAATTGCTTTAATTGCTATTAGTTCATCTTTAAGTTAAGATTTTTGTTGTTCTCTCAGTCTGGAAATACTCATAGGGTATTACATAGTGCTACATTGTCAAGTTCAACTCCTACCAATATTGATCTTGGTTACAAACCCAATGGACTAAGGTGGAAGGGAAGAGCTGCAATTACTCAAAAGCAGCTACGGGAGGAGAGTTACAGAAGCACTCATGGCACACATTAGATTTCACTTGGTTTAGCTTAATGACTTGATCCCAACTAACTTTATTTTGATTAATGACTTGATCCCAATTGTTTTGGTTATGCTATTAGGAAGACTTTGTTTTTTTATATGAATGGCACCTATATGAATTTGTGTTTGAATGAAGTTGCTATTTAGATTTCTTAAGCAAATGCAATCCATTTCATTATCAAATAACACCTAGTACAAATTAATATATCTTAAAAATAATGGCTACAAACCAAATAACAACAACCACAATAACAGTGATATTAATACTAGTGTTTGATCCTTGTCTTCCTTGTCTTCCTTGCCCTGAACTCGTTGATGGATTCTTAATGTTGTATTGTTCTTGGCATGTTGAATCATTTGCATCAGCCCATCGGAAGAATCCACACCCATTACCGGATGAATATTTTTGACAACCCCAAAACATACTTCCAGGATTAGTTGGTGTTCTTTATGTCTTTAGTTCAGCATATATTCCACAGTAGCAACATCCAACCGTCATTGTGAAGACCAACAAAATCAAACCAACAAAAATACAATAGAACCACACACAAAAAAAAAGATGAAACAAAAATACAATAGAATCACACAAAAAAAAGATGAGTAGATCGAAGGAAAAATTAAAGGCACCAAAAATAAAAGAGAAAAAAAATTTGAAGAGACAAAATCGAGAAAAAGAGGAGAAAAAAGCTCAAATTTGTCCAACAATGGTGTTTGAGTGAAAATAAAGAAGAAGAGATGGCCTTTAAAGGTCAAAATTTGGCCGTTAGTGCCTTTTTAAGGCGTCTCACGCTCTTACCTTGTGTGTATCACACGCTCCATGTGGAGTCTTTCCACATAGGATGCCACATAAAAAAAAATGTTTAAAATGTTGGGTTTGGATGAGTTCAGGGGTCTAGATGACAAAATGATAAGTAGAAGGGTTCACAATACAAACAGATACAAGTATAAGGGTCCACCAGACCATTTCGCCAAACATAATATCAAAGCTAACATTCATCCCAATTATTCTTTATTGATGATGGCCCCAGATTAAATTGTCCAATGTCCATTTTGGGGGTAAAGTGGGGTGTTAAATAATCCCACATAAGCTCAATGAATTTTATCTAACTTTTACATCTTCTCTGTTGGTATCATATATATATATGAATGAAATAAGATATTGTCAACAGTTTCACACAATTTGCGCAGTAGAAAGGTAATTACACCGATGGAGGAGGTTGCGTTGAGGTTCAAAAACTTGGAATATAATAATTATGAACACAAAATGGTAGTTATGGATTATTCGTAAACTTAATCATATAAAAAGGCGACCCTTTCGCCGTAAATTTAGTTTTGTTGATATTGTAAATATTGAACCCTTTGATGAAAATGAAGTCGCTGCATGTGGCTTTGTCTCTTCTCGATTGTGTTCTAATACTATAATGCTAGTCTTTATTATGATGCAAGTCATATGGTGTCCTATTCAAAACTGTACTACATTCATAAGACACCAAGTCACCAACATACAAGATGTAAAATACAAAATAATGACAGGTAGAATTTGAGAAGAAATTGTTTTATTTGTATACCAATATTATTTCAATTGCTATACGAATAATCTGTACACACACTATATTGAATCAATGTAGGTCTTCAATAACCCAATTTCGAATCACATATAGGAGAAAACCGACACAAAAACCAACAGCACCAACAACAGCCACAATCCGAACCCAAAAGTGGTTTATAAATGCCTTCATGACTATGGCATCCCACAGCCAGAACCAGAAAATAGAAAAACAGAATCCTAGTATTGCACCCACTGCTACTTGGTTTAACGTGTGAAATCGTTGTGAAACTCGTAGCCATGACTGTAAAGTGATAGAAAAGAAAACATGTACATCATTTTCTGCACCAGTTTTACTTAGAATGAAAGTTACATTCAGAAGAATCACTTGAAGAACCAGTAAGGAAATACGTTCTGCCAGCATATGGAAATAATAAATATAAAAGGTACAACTCCACACTTACAAAGTATGAGCCCATTGCAAAGATAAGCGCACTAGTGACTGCAGTTATTTCATTGAACCCGAAAAATTTAATCACTGTGTCAAACAATTCAAGAAAATGAGAAGTGAAAATGGATTATCTGATAAGCACGTATGTACATAAACAATAAGAATTATCTGGAGGAAAATCATCTCAGCATTTGATCAATTAGTAGGAGATCGAGCTTACTTACCTAAGATGATACAAAATGCGACTGTGTAGAAGATGGACTGCGCATGTGAAGAAGGCATCCCAGGATCTGATCTTAATGTTGAAACGGGGCGTTCATGGTTAAGTATCCCTTTCAGTGCAGTTGAAAGACAGGCATTGACAACTCCACCTGAAGTAGCCCATAGTACTTCCATATCATGCCTCCAGAGCAAGATAATACCGAAAACTGCAGCCATCAGCCACTTACTCTGTACTTATTTAGGACTACTAATCATTACAAATCTAAACAACAAAACCATGACTTCAAAGCAGCAATTAGAAGCTCGACATAGCTAGTCACACCAAAATGATTATTGTGAGGGAACATTACCTTAACTAATTGTTGGGATCCAAATAACATGCATAAGCTAACAATTGCAAACTTTAATGACCATAAGTTAGACTACAAAGAAAAACTTTTAAAATGACCTTATGATACAATTTGATCAATTGAGAGTAAATCTTTTCTAACCAAAACTTTTTAAACGAGTACATTGGAGATAGTATGATGTTGTGATTTGTGTATGAAAACTAAAGATCTCTATTTAAGATATGAAAGAGTCTTTTTTTACCAAATACTACTAATTTTTTTCCACCGAGAGAACATTTATGAGCTTTGTATTGGTTATTACTATTCAACTTTTACAGAAGACATGAGTTCTTTACAAGATCAAATTTATTCCCAACTGACAAATCAGCCTTCCATTCTATCCAATAATTGTTCCACAAGGTGCAGGTTTCTCTCAGGTAAAACTTATTTGCAGAAAATAAAAAATAAAAATCAAACAGTCCCCCCTTTCTTTTTTTACGGAGGAGCCGTTTAGCACAGAAACATGAAGAAATGATAAAAACAGAGCAGGTCAAACGTTGACTTACCAGGCTGTTGAGAATAGCTTTAACTCCATCAGAAGAAAAATTCATGGATCCATCAATAAGAGCTTCTTGCTCTAAACCTCCACAACTGACTCCTTCATCGCCGGCAGCAGCAGCTCGATTCTCGACGGAATCCACCATTTTAGGGGGAATTAGTGTACAATGCGAGATGGATTTTTTGAACTTGAATTTTCCACAGATATCCAATTTGAAAGTGGAAAATCTATTGAGTCCGCGAAATTGAAGCTGAGAAACTAGTATTGGTACATTTACAAGGGTAGTTGCAACAGTCATTTTGGTACCTGCACTTGTATGTTTTTTCTGATTAAGCACACGAGATATTTTCTTCAACAAAGGGCTGAGATATGTAATTTGAAGAAGAAGGTGTATCAAGTGGAATTTTATTTTTCATCTCGATTAAATTAGATTTGTGTCCTATAAATTTATTTATGATACGGAAATATAAAAATAGTGATAGCCAAGTCCTACTCCACGGTCTACTGTTCGTCTATTAAATTGACTCTTCAATGTAGTACACTTTTTTTGACTTTAGCGGCGGACTTATTTGACGCAAGATAACAAATTTGGCATCTGTCTGGCTAACGGGATCTTATATCTCTAGGATTCCGTTATAACGGGATCTTAACGTTTGTGATTTTTAATGAAAGATAACGTTTATGATTTTATTTATGTATTACAATGATTTAACTTTAAAAAAATTAATTTTACAATATAAGTTTAAGTGTTAAGATAAATTCTGAATGATTACTTTAGTATTTTCTTCTGTTATATAAAAAAAAAAAGATAAAAAATAAGTCAATCATCATACTTACACCTCCACATGTAGTCGATCTAGCCAAGTAAACTTTGTTTATTTTTCATTCGTAAATTATTTTATTTTTAAAAAAAACACCTGTTTTTCCATTAGTAGAACTTAAAAAATGAATCATTAAACTATTTTCCCGGAGTTAAAAACATACACTTGGCTAATGTTTAACTCAACGGATATTTTGTTTAATTTCTGTTAATTAATTAATTTAAGAAAAATGCTAACATTGAAAATTGAGCAACTTTCACATATAGCAAACATAAAAATCAGATTTGTATGTTATAATTATAGCTTGCATAATTGCACTCCATAGCAAATTTTATGTTTGCTATGGAGCTTTTGATTTGTATAATTCGCTAGATACATTTAATTTTATACAAATTGTTCAGTTTTGTATAAACTCATTTATACATTGTAATTTGTATAATAAGATTTGTATTTGTATAATAATAAGTGTATAGGACGAAAATATATGTATTTGTATTTGTATATACACTTTTCTCTCGTTTTATACAAACACAAACGCATTTTATACATTTTATACCGAAATATATAAAATGGCTAATTGTATATTGAATCTGATGACAAAAAAAGGGGATGTTTGCTGCGAATTACAAATAAAATAAACTATGGCTATAGCATTTATTTGTAATTAATAATTTGATATTTCATACAATTTTCCCGTGAAAAATTAGTTCTAATAGACTTTACTGAACGCAAATTTGGGCCAAGATTATTTAGATTGGTGTATGGACTTTTTAAGGCTTTACGTCCAACTCAGGTTTATAGGCTTCCAAACTATAGCCCTTCTAACGGGCTTCACAGATGTGCAGGCCCAATACGGTCTCTGCATCTTCAATATTGGGCCTAAACGAAAGAAAAACTTCTTTTTTGAAAAAAAAAAATAAAAAAAATTATCACTGACGAAATGCAGGGCAGAGCGAAGCAACGAGAGTTGAAAACAGTAAATCATGCTATATGGGGAAAGACATGACGGGTAAAAGTTTTACTGCACCAAAGTTAATAAATTATTATTTTTAATAACACAAAACTCGTCCAACTTTACATAAGTATACTAAAAAATGTCTCATTTGTTTTCATCCAGTAATATTTTGATACGAAAAATAATTGAACGACTCTAACAATATATACAAGCAACTTTCAGTAAATTTTGTTGCTACTTGAAATAGTTTAGTAACTATAGTACAATAAAGTAAAAGTTCAATCCATGATTGTATCCCCAAAACACTATATTTCAAGACAAGAAAAATAGAAATAGCTACTATATTTCGTTCCGTCCCATATATAAAATACTTTTTAGTACTTTCTTTATTTGAATTCTAAACATGTCATGTGAAGAATTGAAGTTAAAAAATTATCCAAATTAATAATAATTTATTTAAATAGATTAATAAAAAAAATATAGTAATACAAAGAAGTGGGGGATTAAGTGAGTAGTGACATACACGAGTTCGACGCGGAAACGACGGCATATTCGCATGCAAAATATCTTAATCTACTACATATACAATCACCATAGAACAAGTTTGATGCTTGATTCTCTTTGAGTTGATGGAACAAAATTTCGAATACACAAATATAACAATTTAAAATAAATGGTGACACACACGCAAATCAGTTCCATATTCTCCTTTTATTAATTAGCTAGAAAACTCGACAACACCACACATGCATGCATGCAATGACAAAATTCAAAAGCATAAAACAATTGTCTCAGCATCGCGATTCCACTACTAAAGAGTTTAAATTCTATACACTAATCGATAACCACTAAATATATTCATGAAGTCAAATCACTAATAATTCATACTTTTTAGTGATAAATACTTTTAGTTAGTAATGTAAAAAATGGTATATAATCCTAGCTAGACTATTACACAAAAACAATTTTATATATGGATATAAGATAAATCCATAAATAAAGTTGGATATAAGTCATTTCGAATTAAAAAAAGAAAGCAAAGGGGAGGTTGTCGTATTTAATCTTTTTGAAGGGATGAGTTCGACCGCATAAGTTGTCTCATAAAAGAAGCAAAATAAGATATAGTATTGTGGGTTTATCTGAAAGATGACTAGCCTAATTGACCTTTACAAATATTCTTCAACCTCTTTACACGCAAGCTGCTTCTATTGTGGATTCTTATAAGTTATATTCTTCTACTATATATATATAATTATCTAAAATACAAATTCAAATTCTCTTGGGAAATTATATGTTGAAAATCAGTTGCCTTTTGTCAATTTTCATCAGAACCATAAGCTTTCACTGGCAGCAGATTCTCCACCACGAGGGTAACAGCCACTTTTTAGGATAATCTTGTTAAGGACATGGAGCCCATATTTTTCAACATATCCGATACTCTTTAACTAATAATTTTCTTTATTTCTTGCAACCTCTCTTTTTTGGGACATGACTATAATTAAGTTGGATATTTTAACTATTATTAAGTCTCTAAAGTCGCAAAACTAATTTCTCCTGGTCAAGATTAAATATATATAAGTTAATCAGATATTTAATCAATAAGTTATGTTTTTGAAGATTCCCACATCAGTTGGTAAAAATATGACCTTTTGTTTTATGATTTGGTTTAATTAGAATCGAGTAAAAAAACACTATGATAGGAAGCGCTTCAAATGGTTTTTAGATGAAGCAAATCCAAATCAATTAAACTTCAATATCGATTCCCAACACGGGGTAGAAGACAAAAAAAAAAAAAAAAAGTATAGAATATTACTAATCCAAATCAGAAATCACTCATTAATTACTAAGTTGATTAAGTGAAAATTACTTATAATGGTCCCATGAAAAAGTTTTCAGGTGGTGTGACATGATTTTTGTTAGTCCATTTATTTTTAGAAAAAGTTACATACACTTCTAAATTTAAATATAATTAACTTTACGTACACTTCTTCTATTTCACCCTTAACATGAAATGTACTTTATATATATCCATACAGAAGTTATGTCATGTTAAAACAATATCACGTAGCAGCTAGGTAGCTAGAGCTTTGAGTTGAAAATTTGCAAACGTTTCTGAGGTACAAATGTAACACAATCGTCGAGACCATGAACAGTACGCATTATTTCCCTTTTGATTCATCGAAGAAAAAACATGGTAAACAGAGTTATTGCAGAAAATTGTGCAAGTAACAGTAGATAGAAGCCAGATCTTCAAAACAGCCTTTGTTGTTTTATTTCATTTTCATTTTTGTCATGTATCCGATCAGTGGCAGAGCTAGAATTTTTAATAAAGGGTTCAAAATCTGAGAAGTAAACACATGAACTAGTGGAAAGGGGTTCGACATCTATTATACATACCTAAAAAAATAATTTAACATTGAATAAATAGTAATATTTTCCGCCGAGGGGGTTCTGATGCCTCCACCCCCTGTATCCGATACAGCTACACGATAGAAAAAAGGAGGGTATATAAACAGTGTCGTTGAAGAAAATTGTGAAGATCGTGTCAGTAATGTTAGTAAATTTAGTTTTGGTTTATTTTTTTACGAATCATTTGGATTTATATGCCAATAAAATATATAGATAGTTATATAAGTACGATGTATTTATTCTATACTATTACATTATCCTTCGATTAGGATGGTTGTGAATTTGTGATAGTGACTGAAATTTCAAGGCATTCACTAATACACAAGGTTTGTATTTAATAATACTAGTAGAGCAATTTAGTGCCCTGCGCCAGGTTTGGATTGAATATTTTTTAGATATTAAAATTAATTTTATGAGTAAGTAATTGTCTGTTTGCGTATGGGATAATTAATTTATTCGGTAAAAGTGTTTGTAATCGTTTTAATCGAAATGTGAAAAGTTATTGGCAAGAAAATTACACTTGCCAACTATTATATCATTTTCAGTGCCTGCTATTACTACTGCAACTATTATATTAACGGGGCGAATTGAGGAGTGTTCACTCAAGACCCTCAATAAAAATTACACTATATATAAGATATGTTTTTTTGTGTTTAGTGTATGTAAATAAATATTGAATTCCTTAAACATGGTGTAGAGGTTAGGCCACTGATTATATAATCAGACTCTTAAGGTGGGGTCTCATCTATTTGTCAAGTAATTTATTCTAGCTTTGCCTCAAAGAGTTACGTATTAAAAAAAAAATATAAGTGGTCTCTGAATTCTTGCATAAATATCTTTGAAACACGAAATGAGTGAAGCAAGCACATGTTGAGAACAATTATATTTGACTACTTTAGCGCATTGTTGGTGAGAGGGGAGGAAAGAAGAGAGTAGAATATGGGAGAAATTAAACAATCAACAAAAATGTTTTAATTTCTTTTCCTTTTACATGAAAATAAGGCGAAGGGAAAAATATATTTACCTGCATTGTAGGTCTAAAAATAAGAATACAAACAATATACTTCACGCTCAAAGAACATATGCCCTCAATTGTGGCCATTGTAAAAAAATTCCACGTTCAATTTTTCGTCCTTTGTTTTACTATATTTTTTTTTTAAGTAGGAGTAGCATCTACCAACCATGTTGTTCCACCTTCTTTGCTACTCCGTGATAGCAAGCTACTTGGGATTAGACCAACCAAAAATACAAAGA